CCCCCAGCTTCCTCCTCTGCCTCATCCAAACCCCAATTTCTGCTTTTTGGTTTTGCCTGGTGGAAGGCCGCAGGTGGATGCCAGCCCTCAAGGGCAGCCATAGGTGAGACATGATGTACAGAGTGTTAGGAGGCAGCTGGAGTGGTGCTTTGGAAGCAAATACTGAAGGGTGAAGCCTCAGCACAAGCCCAGAAAGCAATGATGGAGATGGCAAGGTGGATCAGAGGAGATGTTTTTTCCCCAGAATTCAGGAAAACCCTGGAAGTGATCTATAGCTTTGCTTTTGGATGGATGGACATACACATATGACATCTATACTGACTGCAACAGTAAGATCCTGGCATGGGGTTTGGTATGGCTCCCCAGCACCCAAGGCTCAGTCCCTGCACCGGGGGAACAGAGTGTATGTGTCAGTGTGCACTTGGATGTGCAGTGTTGAACCCACAGCAGAGAAACTACTGAGAGAAGTGAAAGGCTGAGGAGCCTGGGGCTGAGCAGTGTCATGCAGCTGCAGGGAAACCCCCAGCGTCGGGGACAGTCCCCAGGCAGGCAGAAGGAAGCCACCACTTTGTCTTCAGTACCAGGGCATGTGCGAGGTCACTCCTGACATCCATCCCACAGCATCGTCCTCCTGCTATGCTCAAGGCAACGTGGCCATCTACCTTCAGCCTCTCCCTGCTCTGAGCATGCAGCCCATTTCACAGCAAAGCTCTTGCCCACAATAGCAGGTCCCCAGCAGGGCTCAGCCTGGCTGCCATCACCAGCACCACAGGGACAGCATCCATCACGGGGACAAGTCACTGTCCTTGGAACAGGCTACCTCACCTCCTCCAAGGGTATCAGTAAGCATCACTGTATTCAGATAGGTGGATTTGGGCCATTTTACACTGTCTCACACTGAATCCTTGCTCCAGAAGAGCTGGATTTTGAGAGATTTTATAGCAAGACTGCCATGTTTTCTTGTAGGGAAGAGAAGATAGTGGCAAGCTCTGCCCCTCTTAGCAGTTTTCTTTGCATCATAATTAATGAGTTATTATTGCTTTTTATCTTTTTAATCAAAAGAAAATCCCTTCCATTAGCTCAAATCCTCCCATCAGATTAGGCCATTTGGCAGCTCTGATTAGTCAAATCTCTCCTTGCTTCTCAAAGATTCAGTGGATGCACTTAGGAAATAAGAAAAAGGCCAATTTGAAAATTAAATGAGATTAGTCCAGAAGGGAAGCTTTGCAGGAGGACAAGGAGAAATACATCTGGTTGGAGGACCTGTTGGTGCAAGGATCATGTAGCCCTGCATCAGAAATGCTGGGGTTCCTCTCTGCCTGTGGAAGTCAGGGAGCACAGAGCTAGTTTTGCTGCAGCCCTCCAGGATCTGCCTCCTGGTCTCTTTGCCCTGCTCATGCCTCTCCAGGGCAGTGCCTCATTGCCAGGGTGAGTGAGGGACACCACAAATCAGTCTGGTTTCATTTCACTCTCCTCAGAGAAGAGCTTTAGTCCTCCTCTCCCCCATCCAGGGCTTCTCCTACCTCCGCGGAGGAGCGCTCCAGTTTCTCAGCTCACTCTTCACAGAGGTGTTCACCTCCCCGTCTTTCTGCAGGTACATGGAGGGGTAATAACCTGTGGTTTCATCCTTCCTGCAATGCAACACAAAGCAACATTGCCTGCAGTCATGGCTCTGTAACCACTGCCTCCTCATGCCTGTCCCCACCTGGTGCTGGGTGGTTTATTTCTCATGTTTCTTGCAGCGAGGGGCTTTGACTGTCTCCCCACCCTGTGTGCCTGTGGTTCTCTCTGGAAGTGTGGCTTGAGTCCCAAAAGCAAGAAAGTAGCAGAACAATGGCTCACAGCTTACAGGGTCTCACCTGTGTGCTCAGGATACGCTCCCTGGTCCCTGGCCCACCGCCCCCTCCAGCCCAGCACGCTGCAAACACCAGGAGATCCTCCTGGTGCCACTCGCCTGGGCACAGGCTGGGCCAGGAGGATCCCCAGGGTTTGCAGCCACGTGAGTCCTGCTGCGACTGTGCAATCTATGAGTCTCCAGAGCACAAACGCAACTGGGGTTCCCCTTGGGGAAGCCCAAGTTTGCAGGGCAGGCCAGGGCTGGGATGAAAGCTTAAGTTTTGCAAAGCAAAATGTGACAGAATACTTAAGAGGCAAAAAACCATAATTCTTTTTTTTTTTTTTTCTTTTTTTTTCCAATCTGCCTCCTTCTTGGATGTTTCTGAAACCTCCAGCAGAGGAAGCCCCAGCTTCAACGTTTAACAATTGGCAAAACCACAGGCTACTAGGAGCAGCCCTGCAAAAGGAAGTGCTGGGCAGCATCACCAAACAGTCCATGGCTTCCACAGCTCCGATGCGGAGAACAGGTGGTGCATTTCTTCCCTCTGCCTGAATCCCACTTGCCTGATTTCTTCTTGGCATCTCTCACCTGATGACCCACCAGCCATCAAGGAGCTTGTGGATGACTTCAACAGTATCACCCTCCTTGAGGGTCAGCTCATCCTCCTCCATGGCTGTGTAGCTCTTCTGGACAATGTATTGCTCACCTGTGCACAGAACAAAGACAGAGGGCTGAGTCCTACCACCCCAGAGATGGGGCTCAGCCACTCCAGCCACTGAGGAGAGGAGACACTAGAGCATCTACCCTACATTTTAGGCTAGACTCGAGGTGCTTCAGGTCTCCAGGTTCCCCAGACTTCCCCCAGCCTTGACAGTGTCTGTGGTTCATCCCAGCCCTGTCAGCACCTCTCCAGGAGAAAGCTGGTGAATGCAAGCAGTGGAAGCACACTTATCTATCTCTGCTGAAGAGTGTGTTTATAATTTGGGTGATTAAATGAGGAAGAAGGAAGCTGTGCTAATAGAGTCTGTTGCAGTGTTTCAAAAACCACGAAGATGAAGTCCAGAGAGCAATCAGCATGAGTCTGCAGGATCCTCCCTCTGCTCTGTGCGATAAGGCCCCACTGTCACGGTGGGGCGATGCGGAGGGCTGGTAAGGAGGCTGCAGAAGCCATGCGTTGGGGAAAGCCTGCACCTTGGTGTAAATGCTGCACTGTGCTTCTTTGCTAACCCAGCAACTCAGCATTCACCCACCTAGCTCAGCATGGCCACTGGGTGAAGATGTGCATCTGTGATCAGCCAAAACAAGCACCTAGTGCTGAGTTGCAGGTCATGGGAGGCTCCTGATGTTGACACTGAGGCACCAAACCATGAGATTTATCCCTCCTGGAAGCTCCTACAGCAACATCTCCCTACCCAGCAGTCCTGCTCAGTGGGGACTGCCCGATGGGCCTTGCAATGAACCACCCCAGCAGGGAGCTGTGGCAGGCTGTGCTCTCACGCACACCCTGGTTACCCCAAGGTTTTACCTGCATAGTTGGGCTCCTGCTCTTCTGACTCGTCAGGACCATCCATTGGCTCCAGATAGGCAGCTGGCACCCAGCCCCGCTTATTCTTCAACTGGCAGAACCACCAGCCTGCAAAGAAAGCAGCCGTGGGCAAGAGCAGAGGGTGTTGTGGGGGCATCATGGGGGCACCAGCACCGGGTCAGCCCCCGGCCAGGGTAGGCACAGGCATCCCCGTGGCCTGGATGGAAGGGACGGCACTGGGGCCAGTTTCTGTTTACATGGTGCAACGAGGGAGCTTGGCCAGTTCATCCTGTTTTCTCCTGGGCAGGAAACCTCACAGGCTGAGAAATGAGGGGGGGTTGCATGGTTTTCTAGGATTGCCCCACACCCTCCCTGGCCAAAACCAACTGTCATGTGGCTCCATGTGAATGTGAAACATGTCCAGGCAGGAAGCGCTGAGAGGTTCGGTGCTGCTGGTTGCATTTGCTCTCTCCATCAGGAGACCCTGATACAGCCACCTACCCTTTAACCCGTGCACCAGCCTAACTAGCTCACATGCTGCATTCAGATGCAAGGGCAGTCCCTGTCCCTGCTGAAATGGTGGCCAGGAGGGGCCTGACGCTCAGGGGCTCTCCGGAGGGGTGGATACATACCGCTTTCACTCTTCTCCACGACGTCCACCATGTCCCCGGCTTTTAGAGCCATCTCGGACGTGGAGCTCTTCTCGTAGTCGGCGATGGCTCGGTACGTCTGCAGCACAATGGGCCCCGTAATGTCTGCATGGGAGAAGTGAGAGCCGTTCCCTCTCCCAGCCCCCGGTGCAGAAATACCCTATTTCAAGAAGGCCAAAAGCATCCCCAGGACAGCCCCAAGTGCTCCCCCAGCCTCTTCTGGTCCCAAACTAGCTGGATCCCAGAACAGGGACTCATTCCCCCTGAGGCCATGGTTTTCCCCCTGCTGCAGCTCTGGCACAGACACAGTGCTCTTGGTCAGGGCATCTGCCATGGGATGGCTGCCCCTCTCCCTGCTGCTGCTTGCACCTCTCCAAGGCCTCTTACCACTGGGGTTTTTCTTGGCATCCTTTGGCAGGAGGAAGACCTCAGGCTTCTTGATCCTAGATGGGTCAGAGCAAAGGCTGCTCAATGCCAACCACCCCTCACTGCCGGCAGTGGTGCCCTCCCTGCTGCCAGCACCCAGGGGCAGGGATGAAGGTTTTCCACCCCCCAGCAGGCAGCTGGACTCACTGGCTGTCTGTGACGGGGTTCATGTCGTCGTGACGGACCTTGAAGAAGTTGACCACATGCAGGCACCGGGAGATCTTGTGGGGCAGGTTGACCAGCGTGTAGCAGTACTCGGCCAGCGTGCCCTGCCTGTTCTGGGTCGAGCGCTGCCCATCAAACCACTTTGGGGCTGGAGGAGAGGAGAAAGGACTCAGAAAAATCAGAGAGCACCCATTTTTTATGACTTTCCCAAGCAGGCTGTTTTGAATCATTATTTTTGCCCTGAAAACAAGTGGATTTGGCCCCAGGGTGCTACATGGCTGCATGGTGCCAGTAAGGCAGAGCTCTGCGGGAGCATGGCCCCATCTCCTCCCTCTCCGGTCCAGCCCTGGCCTTGGCAGGCACATGAGGTCCACACATGGTGCCAAAAGGTCTGGGGAGAAGCTGTCTGCAGGGCTCCGGCTGTTTTGCAGAAGTGCTAAAGCTGCAGGTTCCTTGTTTTGTCAGCAGGGCTGGGGAGGCAAGTGTGCTGCAGTGCCCAGCTTGGGTGCTGTGGGCAGCGTGGAGGAGAGCTCTGTGCAGCCAGATGCATCCCCTGCAGCCCATAGACCCTTGCACAGCTCATGCAAGCCCAGAAAAGACCCTGTTTTACCCCATTTCAGTTACAGGATAACTCCCACATCCGTGCTCAGACTAAGCACAGCTGCTGGGCCACCAATACAGCGGCTGCACTGGGGCACAAGGAGGGGCTCAGGGGACCAGCCTGTGGCCAGGGGAGATGCACGTGTCCTTCCATCCCTCTGGCCATGGCTCATGTCCTGCAGCAGCTGCTCTTGACCCCAGGACTCCAAAATGCCACTGGCAGCCCTGACGCACAGCAGTGTTGAACCCTGCGTTGGGGTGCGTGTGTGCAGCTGGTGGTACCCTGCACCCCCCCCGCAGCAGTATGACACCTGCCTCAACCCCAGTGCTTTCAGGTCCCCAAATGGGACAAGGATGCTCCAAACAGCCTCAGCAGGGCAGTGGCAGCATGTGGGAAGGGTCCCAGCACAGCGGTGTTGGTCTGGCCCTGAGGGGACCCCCCCAGACATCTGCTGCGTGGTGCAGGTTTATTCCTCCTCAAGAGGTGCCGACCACAACCTGCAGCTATTTCTCATGCTCCTTCCTGCCTCCTTTAAAACAGGAAATTAAATAAAAGAGGGAACTTTGCTGACCTGCACCTTGCTTGGGGAAAAACCATCAGTTTTTTGGATCAGGAGTTCATTCCCTGTCATTGAAGACATACTGCATTGTTTCCTATTATGAAATATCTGTGTTGCCATAAGGGCGCTAAAACCAGTCCCAGTGATTGTGTCACGGAGGGACAGCTCAGCTCAGCTCAGGCTCCCCAAAGCCAGACCCTTTGTACCAGTCAGGGGACACGTCTCTGGGGTGCCCAGCCTTTGGGGAGGAAGAACGGGGTCTGCAGGGCTGGTGAGTGCTGCGAGAAGCCACCACTGCTGCTCAGAGCTTTCCGGGGTTTTGATTTCAAGCCCAGTGGGCAGGAACAGAAATCCCACCAAGCAGACCTCGTTCTTCCTCCCCAAAGGCTGGGCACCCCAGAGACGTGTCCCCTGACTGGTACAAAGGGTCTGGCTTTGGGGAGCCTGAGCTGAGCTGAGCTGTCCCTCCGTGACACAATCACTGGGACTGGTTTTAGCGCCCTTATGGCAACACAGATATTTCATAATAGGAAACAATGCAGTATGTCTTCAATGACAGGGAATGAACTCCTGATCCAAAAAACTGATGGTTTTTCCCCAAGCAAGGTGCAGGTCAGCAAAGTTCCCTCTTTTATTTAATTTCCTGTTTTAAAGGAGGCAGGAAGGAGCATGAGAAATAGCTGCAGGTTGTGGTCGGCACCTCTTGAGGAGGAATAAACCTGCACCACGCAGCAGATGTCTGGGGGGGTCCCCTCAGGGCCAGACCAACACCGCTGTGCTGGGACCCTTCCCACATGCTGCCACTGCCCTGCTGAGGCTGTTTGGAGCATCCTTGTCCCATTTGGGGACCTGAAAGCACTGGGGTTGAGGCAGGCGTCATACTGCTGCGGGGGGGGTGCAGGGTACCACCAGCTGCACACACGCACCCCAACGCAGGGTTCAACACTGCTGTGCGTCAGGGCTGCCAGTGGCATTTTGGAGTCCTGGGGTCAAGAGCAGCTGCTGCAGGACATGAGCCATGGCCAGAGGGATGGAAGGACACGTGCATCTCCCCTGGCCACAGGCTGGTCCCCTGAGCCCCTCCTTGTGCCCCAGTGCAGCCGCTGTATTGGTGGCCCAGCAGCTGTGCTTAGTCTGAGCACGGATGTGGGAGTTATCCTGTAACTGAAATGGGGTAAAACAGGGTCTTTTCTGGGCTTGCATGAGCTGTGCAAGGGTCTATGGGCTGCAGGGGATGCATCTGGCTGCACAGAGCTCTCCTCCACGCTGCCCACAGCACCCAAGCTGGGCACTGCAGCACACTTGCCTCCCCAGCCCTGCTGACAAAACAAGGAACCTGCAGCTTTAGCACTTCTGCAAAACAGCCGGAGCCCTGCAGACAGCTTCTCCCCAGACCTTTTGGCACCATG